TTTTATAGACCAACTGATCTTGCTAGTTTTGTGCAAACATATCGAACATGTTGTTGAAACGATAATTTTTGATCCAATATTACTCCTAAAAAATTAACAGTTTTGCTTTCGAGAATATCCGAATTATTTATTACGATCTTATATGGCTCCTTGTAGTTTAAATATTGGACTGGGCCAAAAATAATCATTTGAGTTTTTCTCCTATTCAATGTCAACATATTACATTCAAACCTTGAGACGACCTTTTTAATTTCACTATTAGTCTTCAAGATGAGTTCATCGATGTTTTTGCCTGTACTGAATAGATTAGTATCATCTGCGAAGCAAATGTAATCAAAGAATGTTGAAACTTTCGGGAGATCGTTGATGAAGACAATGAATAGCAATGGACCCAAAATACTGCCCTGAGGTACTCCAATTTGGTTTAATTTTTCGCTCGAGCATGTACCCTGCCAGCTAACAAATTGACTTCTCTCCGATAAGTAACTTCTGAACCATTTCAGTTGCGAGCCACGTATTCCATAATGGTCTAGTTTCGCCAGCAAGATGTTGTGGTTGATGCAATCGAATGCCTTCGAGAGATCAAGGCACGTGCCTACGATGTATTTTTTGTCTTCTGCTGCGATCCCTATTTTTCTGATCAATTCTATTATTGCCAGCTCAGTCGAGTACTTCTCTCGAAATCCAAATTGTGAATCGTTAATTATGGAATTTTTTTTGAAGAAGATATTTAGCCTTTTGTACATTATTTTTTCTATTATTTTCGAAAAATTTGATAAAAGAGCAACGGGTCGAAAATTAGTTAAATCATTGCATCCCTCATCCTTTTTAATCGGTACAATTTTTGAGACTTTGAAACATCGTGGGAATGTGCCGGAGTTGAAAGAAAGGTTAATTAGGAATTCCAAAATGTGAGCTGTTGAATGTATGGTAGATTTTATTATTTTCATAGGAATGCCATCCTATACACTGGTTGTTTTTGGTTTGAGAAGTCTGGTTGTTGCAATTATTTCATCGCTTGAGGTCGACAGACAGAAGAACGAGTTTTGAAGTTTATTAGTGAGGTGATTTTTCCAGAGTGTTGAATTGTTGAAAGATGAACCTAGTTTTATAGCTATACCGGTGAAATAATCGTTTAAGGCGTCCGCAGGAGAACGAACAATTTCACTGTTTGATGTGACGGTATTGGTGATTTTATTTGTGCTGATTATGTTCTTAATAATCGACCACGTTCTTCTGTTATCTTTTATGTTCTTTTCTATGATGTCGCTGTAGTATTGTTTTTTAGTTTATTTTTAAATTTGATGCAAGATTGTCTAATTGACTTTAATTCAATTAGATTTTCAATATTCGGATTTTTTAGATATTTTGTATACAGTTTGGTTTTTCTATTTAACATTATTTTAAGATCATCAGTTATCCAAGGTTTATCACGTGATATTTTTTTAATTTTTGTTGCTGATGAAATACGACAGCATTCGTTGAAGTTCTTTACAAAAATCTCTATGAATCGTTGAAACCCGACATTTACATTCTCACAGTTTAAAACGTTTGACCAGTCCATGTTTATTAAATATTCGTTCAGTCTGTTGATTCGTTCACTTGTAAACGAGTATAATTTCTCCTTCAGAAAGTGGTTCTTGATTCTGTTAGACTTCATATTTACAATTATAAAAATTGGTAGGTGGACCGAAAGATCACATACATGCATACATACATACATACATACAAACATACATACAAACATACATACATACATACATACATACATACATACATACATACATATATACATACATACATACATACACACACACACACACACACACACATACATACATACATACACACACACACATACACACACACATACATACATACATACATGCATACATACACACACATACATACATACACACACACACAAACACATACATACATACATACATACATACATACATATATACATACATACATACATACATACATACATACATACATACCAATAATGCATCCTCTCTTTCCAATGTCAGGTTTGCCTGAAATTAAACAGAAAAAAAAGAATAATTCGTTCTTTCTTTCACGTTTTAATTTTATTCATTTATTCGTTCATGCATTTATACCTCTATCTATTCACTGATTCACTGATTCATTCATTCATTCATTCATTCATTCATTCAAACATACGACGAAGGCAGCTATCTTCTGGTTAGTTTCCCGAGATTGCTTCGACTAAATTGAATGAAAAAAAAAATGATATAAAGAAAGAAAGAAAGGAGAAAAGAAAGATTGATTGATTGAACAACTACAACGACAACAACAACAACAACAACAACAACAACAACAACAACTACTACTACTACTACTACTGCTACTACTACTACTAACAACAAATAATAATAATAACCGCATCGTAACACAGTCCATAAGTTTCGCTGGAATCTTCCCATTTTTTCTAAGAAAAAGTTGTTGTCAGTATTGTTATTGTTTATTATTATTATTAATGTTTCGTCATCATCATCATCATCGTCGTCATCATCATCCTCATCGTCACGGTATGATTCCAACAATTATGATTGCAATAATGATAATAAAAATATAATTATATAATATAATTTTTATTATTATTATAACTGCATATAATAATATTATTATTGTTATTATTATTATTATTATTATTATTATTATTATCCACTAACCAGAAAGTCATTTAGCAATTTTATGTTGTATTTAATTTTAGCTCTTCCCTAAGAATTTGAAAATTATGTATGTATGTATGTATGTATGTATGTATGTATGTATGTATGTATGTATGCATGTGTGTGTATGTATGTATGTAAGTATTTAAGTATGTAAGTATGTATTGTATGTATGTATGTATGTATGTATGTATGTATGTATGTATGTATGTATGTATGTATGTATGTATGTATGTATGTATGTATGTATGTATGTATGTATGTATGTATGTATGTATGTATGTATGTATGTATGTATGTAGGTATGTTTGTATTTTATTCCCAAAAAATTTCTTTCATTTATACTTCCACACAAACAATCTAAAAACAAATTATTAGCTGTAAACTCACGAGAAATTTATCCAATCCATAACCGTATTCCTTATTGAAAAAAATTATAACCATTACCACCATTATTATTATTGTTATTATTATTTATAATAGTTAAATTATTATTATTATTATTATTTAAAATAGTTAAATTATTATTATTATTATTATTGTTATTTGGAAAAATACGGCCAAAATAGAAGCGAGAAATTTTTGTTTACCTGGAACGCACGTGTCCAGACATACTGAATAATAAAAATAATAATAATATAAATAATAATAATAATAATAATATATAATAAAATATATTAATAATAATAAAAATATGAGCTTTATAGTTATAATTATGAAAATAAGAAGAAATAAAGTAAATTCTTCATCTCTGTCTAGATAAGATATATTTTTTTTTCAATTCAATTCAATTCAATTTATTCAGCAAAAAGCATGGAAAAAGGCATGGAGATATGCGGCAAACAACTGACTGATCACAAGTGAGGATTTTTCTACTTTGATTTTGGTGTAGGAAATACCATGTTGAGATAAGTTTGACTCTCGTGTTAGGGATAATTTGGTTAGAAAAAGAGAGAAAAAGAAAGAGAGTTCTGAGAACAGCTGCAAAACTGGTTGGCAATTGTAGAAGATTGAAATATATGATGAGATTGATGGAGTGACTAAATTTTACCTCATCTTACTTACTGAAATCTTACGTTTTGACAATTTCGTAGAGACATACTTAGAGACATACTTTCACATTTCAAACTTTTTCAGTGTAAGTGACTGAGAGAAACTTTTGCGCTGATGCAAAGGCATGTAGGTAGAGGAATCAGAAGGCTTGTTGAAGCAAACACGATGTGAGTCGATCGATTGCAAAGAAGATACTATTCCTTCTTCACACGGGATGGTTCCCATACGAAAATACTTCTATGGACGTAGCTGAAGTTGAAACAGTAAAAAATTCGATTATACCGACAAGTAGGTTCAAGGATTGTCAGATAGGGTTATTTCATACATCTAGGATTAAAAAACTAGTCATTGGTTTTATGTTTATTTGAAAATAGTATTGTTAATAATCATCATCGTCGTCGTCATCATCATCATCACCACCACCATCATCATTATCATCATCACCATCATCATCACCATCACCATCATCATCATCATCATCTTCATCATCATATTTATCGTTACCAGAAATTCTTTTCCTAGGTCTATTTCGTTCTAAAAAAAAATGAAGAAATAAAATTTGAACAGGAGAATTAATATGGCACGTATGATTTGTATGTATGTTTGTATGTTTGTATGTATGTATGTATGTATGTATGTATGTATGTATGTATGTATGTATGTATGTATGTATGTATGTATGTATGTATGTATTTATGTATGTGTGAACCCATAATTGATTAGAACTCTAAGGAAGTAATAATCATATCTGGGTTCAGCTTTAATCTATGTTAAACGCTTCGCACAGACAGGTATTTTGTATGTATGTACGTATGTATCTATGTATGTATGCAAGTATGTATGTATGTATGTTTGTATGTATGTTTGTATGTATGTATGTATGTTAAAACCAAAACATGATGAGTGACACTGAACCGTCAAACATCAAGTAACAAATGGATTAACACTTTGATTTGTCGTTGTATTTATGTATGTATGTATGTAAGTATGTATGTATGTATGTATGTATGTATGTATGTATGTATGTATGTATGTATGTATGTATGTATGAATGTATGTATGTATGTATGTATGTATGTATGTATGTATGTATGTATGTATGTATGTATGTATGTATGTATGTATGTATGTATGTATGTATGTATGTATGTATGTATGT